TATTTATGAATGGAGATAAACGATCTTTTAAACATGTTAAAGGAATTTTACATATATATGAACAAACATCAATTCAGCTAGTTAATGTGGCTATGAGTGGTTTGTACACTCTAACCAAGATGTCCAGGGAGAGAGCTACACAAATTCAACATTGGATAGGATATGCTCAACACCAATTTCCATATAATTATCTATGAGACCTATACTATCAAGAAGAATGAAGTGCTAATATTTTCATGAGCTTGAAATGAAATTGGCTAGGAGGATCAATAGATGGAAATCTCAATTGTTATAAAATGATGTTGATTAAATCGATTTTGAGTAGTATTCCCATCCATATCGTGTCGGTCATCCCCATCCCCAAATCAATTATAAGCTATATGAAGAAGACTATGATAGACTTTTTACGAGTGTGAATGGTGAAGCTCAACACCATTGGGTATTGTGAGAAAAGATTTGTCAACCTATGAGGGAAGATGGTTTAGGTATTAGGAGATCGGATGAGGTTATGGAGGCTATACATGCTAAATTAGTATGGTCATATATTTAAAGAAAAAAATTTTCACCCAAAAAAAATATAAAGACCACTTAGAGCTTATCGTTAGTTTGGTCAACTACTCATTCCTCACATATTTGGAAAGGTCTAGTTAAACATGTTGATGTTTTATGGAATTATAGCACCAAAGGTTAAGTTCCTTTCCGGACTATAAATTGGTCTAAAACCTACTTTAACTTCCACTACATATGAATAGAGATCTAACTATTAAAAAGGAATTTGAGCTAATTAAGGATTTTATTTCCTTTATTCCTATAACCTTGCAAGCACTATGTTCAAGAGTTTCCCCTAAAGGAAAATGAAGATGATAAATTGGTTTCTACTCTCACTCTTTCATGGAAATTTGAAACAAAAGCTTATTGACAACACATAAGGCATTAGGGTTTACGAGTTAATTGGCATAACAAGGTTTGATGTCAATGGAGTCCGAATTGAATTGGAGATTCTTTTTAATGTATTAGTCATGCCATACCTACTTATTTGAGATTGCGGATATAAAGGTTCCTCTAAGTGTCTATGTGCCATTGTTATTGTCGTTATCTAACATTTATGAGACTTCGAAATTTTGGCAAGAGAAAAGAATTAAGAAGGTTTTGGAGTCTTTGCCTAGTATTAAAGAAAACTAGAAAACTTAATGAAGATGCTAAATTCGGAGATTCTAACAAAGGAGTTGGTTATGTTTTTAAAAAGATAACAATCACATAAAAACATCATTTCGAATGAAAACTGTTAGGTTTAGTCTAATTCTAAAAAGCATCTCCTAAAAGTTATGTTTGCCAAATTATTTCTTAATCTATTTCCAAAGTTTATTTGTTTAAATTCAAAGAATGAGTTTTTTTATTATGGAATTATATTAAATTGATGTTAGATCCTAAAATTGAGAGTCTTGTCAATTTAGCATCGGATCCAATTATGTCCTAACACGATTGACATGTTGAGAAAAGACCTAATTAGCTAAGAGTATTTAATTTTGATGTAGATAAGAAAATTTTTCCAAAATTAATTTTTTATTTTTATTGTAGAATTGAATTAAATTGATGTTAGGTTCTAAAATTAAGAATTTCATCAATTTAACAATAAATCCATTTCAGATCCGACATGATTGGCATAAAAACCTAGTAATCTAAAGTGTCTATGTAAGATGCAGAATAAAGTTGCCTCATTTATACCTCTAATTTTTTTTGTATTATTTAACCATTTATTTCAAATAAAATCTGGAGACTACCATCGATCCCTATCGAATAGGAGACTCATTGGTTCGACCTACTCTCTTAATTAATCTAACAAAGAAAAAATTCTCTCTCTCTCATCATTTTGTTGTATTTTATTTGTTGTTATTTTTATCTCCTAGTAATAAATTCTCTAATGGCATCACACCCCTAGAGTATCACCCTAATTGGTGATACAACATTTCAATACACATCATTCTAATATAACACTTTAAAAATGATAAATAAAATGATAAAAGGGTATGAAAACAAACCAAACGAGTTATTAAGAATGATCGAAATGCCTTTAGACAATTCTAAAAACTAGCAAAACTAGCCCCGGTGTAGGAAATGATAGATTTCCCCCGGTTTCAAAATAAGAAAATTGCACTAGATAGGTAAAATGACATAATTATCCCTAACGAGTCCTAAGTCTTCCAACCACCATTGTTTACTCCTCTAGCCACCAATCTGTGTGTGGATGGTAGGGTTGGTTTTATCTTAGCCTTTGTTTCTTACGAGTGGTGGTCGTGTTGGCCATCGGCTTTTGTGGAGGGAGATCAACAATAGTAAAGATCCGATCCCGCTTCTTTAGTCGGTTTCGACTACATTTAATGGCTTTCAATATAAACACAAAGCAACCTCTAAGACTTGCTAGACTTTTGTTTTGGTCATTAAAAGGTCCGATTTGGAAAAAAAAAAAAAGAGATAAAATCGAGTCATAGTCGCAGAGTTATACTAGTTCATCTTTCTAGTAAATTTTTTTCAGTTTTGGACCTCCTCTTCGCTATTTCGAGCAGAGAACAATTGCTAGAGGCATGAGAATGAGCTCTATGTTAGTTTTAGCCTTTGATTTGGTTGAAAAGTGGTTGATTTAAGAGAAAGAATCATTATCTAGTTTGACGGGTTTGACGGCTTTGGGATGCAAGTTAGGGTTTATTTGGCTAGTGTCTTTTTTAAGGGGGAGCCTCTCCTTTTGTGTGTGTGTGTGTGTGTGTGTGTGTGTGTGTGTGTGTGTGTGTGTGTGTGTGTGTGTGTGAAAGAGAGTTATTTATACAAATTTTTATGATTTAGGTTAATTTTGTTTCTATCCCTCACTTTCTTCTTGTTTTTTCCTTTTAATACTTGACCTTTCCTTGGTTTTGACTGCACCCTTAATTGGACTCTTTGGTCCCCATTCTTTTTATTCTCTTCAATTTGACCTCGATTTTTCTTCTCTATCTTTTTTCATTTTTTTATTTTTTCTCTTTTTTTCCTCTTCTTTTTCTCTTTACTTTTTGTATTCTTTTCTATTTTTTAATTAAAATCGGGGGATAACTTGAGAAATTTAAATTCTGAAAATTTATAAAAGTATATAAAAATCAATAAACTATGCAACATGTAATTTTTTGAATGTTTTTGAATTTTTTATAATATAAAAATTTATGAAGGGTCAAAAACAGGTTATGACAACTGTCTTTTTTTTACAATGCTTACGATTTAAAGTCAATAAAAGTGTAAACTTTTGGTTGGCTTTGCTCGGTGAGCTTGTAAAGAAAAAACAATTGAAAAAAAATATCGATCTTGTTGTTTTGGGAGACTCGTCCTTTTAGTCATATTCTCACGAGTGACTTGCCGTTTTGGTCATGTTCTCACGGATGACCCGCCTTATTTGTCTTGTCGCATAGGTGACTTGGTCTATTGGTCATGTTCTCACAAGCGACCTACCATGTTAGTCATGTTCTCACAAGCAACTCTGTTGGTCATGTTCTCGCGAACGACTTGTCTTCATTGTTCATGTCTTCACAGGCAACATGCTCTTTTGGTCATATTCTCATGAATGACTTGACTTATTGGCCATTTTCTCACGAAAAATTTGTCTTTTTTTATCATATTCTCACAGGTGACCTACCATGTTGGTCATGTTCTCACGAGTGACTATCCCGTCGATGGTCTATTGTTTCGGGCAATCAACTCCTACTAATGGCCTTGTTGTTATAGGCGACCAGCCCCTACCGATGGTCTTATTGTCATAAGAGATATGCTTCCTACTAATGATCTTATTGTTCGGGCGACCAGCCTCTAATGATGATCTTGTTGTCATGAATGACCTATCCTCGTCCGCTTCACATCTTTTAAATGCTTGGATGCATTCAACTAGAACACAAGTAGGTATGTGTCAGCTTACAACTTGTTTATTTGTTTTATGAAAAAATTGGAAATATGGATGCAAAGCAAGATATAATAATTTCTCTATGTCAGTTTTAAGGTAATATCTGAGGTTGGATTCAGGCTACTGGATATGTGCTTAATATGTTGTCCAAAAAGTCTATCGTCCACGGTGGGTGTCAATAGACTTTGTGTGCATAACTTACTACTTATTACTTGTCAAGATAGAAAGGAGCTCTGGTTAAAATGGTACACTCCTTTAGACAATTTCTATAAACTTAATACGAATAGGTCTTCAATGAATGGTTTCTGCTTTGACGAAGGGATTATCAAAGACTATTGTGGGAGATTAGTTGGCGGGTTTTCCTACTTCTATGGTCCAGGTACGAATATGAAATGGGAGATCTTAGCACTCAGAGATGGTCTGAAATTATGTAAACTTTGGACATTAAACAATTCTGTGTGAAATCTGACTCATTATTTGTTGTTGATGCCATTAACAACAAAATTTAGGCCTCGTGGCTTTATATTTATCAGATTCGACAATGTCAGGAGTTGAAACAGCTATCTATGAACAGCAGTGTTCGGGGACAACAAAATTTAGTTGCAGACCGTCTACCAAATTTAGCTCACGTCTATAAAACTGAAATATTATACCTTCGATATCAAGATCTTCATTCGAAAATAAAACATAGTAGTTTATAATTATAAAAGATAAATCTCGTATATCGATATTTTGCTAGGAGCTTTGGCTTCCTTGTACCTCCATGTGTAGGGGTTCGACTGGATAGTTCTTTCCATGTATCCTTTTATCACTATTAATAAAAATTCAGCAAGGCACTGTCCTAAAAAAAAAAAAAAAAAAAAAAAAAAAAAAAAAGAGCTATGCTCCGTGGCTGTCAACAATATTAATACGGTGGAATAATGGGGCAACATATTCAAGTTTCACCATGTTATTTCGGTCTACTTAGTCAATGATTCTTGTTTCAATGATCCTTATCATCAGGATAAACAATCCATCTGTATAGCAATTTATTGGTTCATACATAGATCACACATTGTCCATGTGGACCTCCAAGGATTATGACCTATATGGAAGAGTCTGAAACAAACATCTGCCTTAAGCGTTTAAAATGTTTTAGCAATTTCTCACGATCAGGAAGGTTCTCTGTGATCACCGGAATTTCTTTAAAATTCTGAATCCAGGCATGTAAGCGAGGCAAAGTACTTGGTTCCACCAATTTTACGCCAACCACTTCTTCCATGCCTTCAAACCAGTGAGCCAACCACCCATATGCTATGTCTACAAATCCAACGTTTTCCCCTCCGAAAAACTTCTTGTCTCCCAGGCACTGCTCTTCCAAGATTGTTAGCACTTCTAATACTTCTCTTGCTGCCTTCTCTTGCTCTTCTCCAGTTGCTCGAAAAAATGCAAAAATGTCATGCCCTGGATAATTAAGGATAGAGTCTCTCTCAACTTGAACAGAAAGGCTAAAATATAAAAAGATTAGAACTATAATCAACGAAAAACAGTAGCTTTATCTTCCAAATTAGATCTAGACATAATTGCCATAACTTAAAGGGTTTAACTTGTTGCACAAAGAACTCAAACCAATTATTGAACTTTCATAATTTTGTGCCAATACGCAAACAATTCATAGTAACAAAGAAATTAATAGAGCAAGCAAGAATTACCTTATCTATTCCAAATTGAATCCAGAATCGAGCTATGGCTCTCTCATAAGCATCTTTTGGTAGCAAAGGATGATCGGGCCATGTTTCTTCAATGTATTCTAGAATAACCATGGATTCCACAATTGGTTTGCCTCCATGAACAAGCACTGGAACCTTCTTATGAATCGGGTTGCACTGTAATAGCGCTCGACTTTTGTTGGAAAGGTCTTCTTCTATGTACTCATATCTGATACCCTTTAGTTTCAGTGCCCATATCACTCTGTAACAGTATGGGCTAGGCCAGAAACTATGCAGTTTCACTTCTTCCATTGTTTTTTAAAGATCAGGCAAAAAAGTCTGGTTCTAAAGCTAGTCAATGTTTAGAAATAAATTAGGTTCATTTGTTTATATGGTATCTGCAACTTTTATTGGTTGGAAAAGTAAAATGAAACAGATAAGTTTAAATTAGTCCCTATAGTTTAACAAAACTAATTAATCAGTTCTTATAGTCTTAGAACCCAATATGTAATCCTCATAGTTTTTAATTCGTCTATAACTTAATATATTAATCAATTTTCGTGTTCTTTTTAATTTATTTCTATCGTTCTTTTTATACAAAAAGAAATAGAAGTAGGTAAGAGAGAAAAATCGGACTAGAGAAGAAAACATAAAAAAAAAAAAGATTAATACTAAATTGAGAATAGTCAATATTTATCAATATATTATTTAATTATTTTAAATGATTAATTAATTATTTTTGATTAACTTCAAAGCTTGAGTTATAATAAACTCAATGAAATGCATTTTCTTCTTTGAGATTCTAACATTAATATTTGGTCCCTTGGAATAGTTGCCTTGCTATTTGGCTAAGAATTAGCAGAGGTATCTCTACTTTAAATTTAGCCAAATTAACCAATGTATAATTGATTTGGTGAAAATCAACCTTTATACTTTTTATTTTGCGGTGTAAAATATACATAAATGTTTAAAAGATAAAATAAAAGAAAAAAGGAGTTGAATTAACAATGATCATCCTTTTTTCCTCCTCTCCTCTGCTATAATCTTTTTGAGGCTCTTAGTTGAAGACAAAAAATGAAGGTGTTGATTGAAAATCTCAAAACAATTGAAGGTTTTAATCGAAAAGGAAAAAAATCGAAGAATGAAAAGGCAAATATGAATTCATTCTGCAAAATTGTTTGATAGAAACGCGAGTTACAAATAACAGCAATATAAAAAGTTGCTTCTAATTTGTAGCTATAGCACCAACAATATTGAGAAAAATAAGGTAACTGGGCAACGAAACTTTCATGTTATGGTAGTAATTTTCAAGTCACTACTGCTCGCAGGTATATTAAAACATTACACTTTGTCATTAGTGCTTATAGTAGCAACATGAAATGTTGTTGCCAACGTAAGTATCAACAACAACAAAACTTCACATGAGATGACAAAAATTCAAGTTCAGAAGTTTGGTAGGGGTAGAAGTGCCTATCCCTCTTTTCTTATTTATTCCTTGTGAAAGATACAATTGCCAATATATAGGCCATAAAACGAAAAATGCTATCCCTTGAGAACAGGAGTTAGGTCAGGAAGGTTTTCTTTGATTATAGGATCTTCTTTGAAATTTTTTATCCAAGAATGCAGACGAGGGAAGTTATGGGCTTCAAGCAGTTTCAAACCCCTTTCTGAATCAATGGCAACGAACCAGTGAGCAATTGCACCAAATGCTATATCCACTAGCCCAATCTTGTTACCACCAAAATACTTCTCTTTTATTCCATGTTCTTCGATCATTTTTAGCATTTCAAAGGCATCCTTGATGGCTTGCTTTTGTTCTTCCCCATCGGTAAGAACTATTTTCCATAGCATTGGAATCTGCCAGATGACAGGATGCCATTAAATGATCATAGTAAATGAGATGTATCTCTCAATCAAATTATTTAATTTACAAGACTAAAAAAAAAAAAAACTTCGGTGCCAGCATAGCTCCTAACTTAAGTGATACCTATATTTCTTTGCATAATTGTCTTAGATATTAAGTATTAGATTATGAGAATTATTAAATCTATTTTTTAATGCATGAGATACTAATCTAATAGTTGATATTTTTTTCACCAGTGAATTCTATAAGACAATTATGTGAAAATAACATTGCTAAGCACAAAACTCAAATATCTTATTTTGTTATGTATTAACCGAACTTTGATAGCTGATATACCAAACCTTGCCAGGTACAAAAATCTAAACATACCTTATCCTCAGCAAACCCGAGCCAAAACCGAGCTACAGCTCTCTCATAAAGGTCGCTAGGCAGCAAAGGGTCCTGTGGCCACGTCTCTTCAATGTATTCGAGGATTACCATGGACTCGCAAATGGGTTTTCCCTCATGAACAAGCACTGGGATTTTCTTGTGGACAGGGTTATGCTGTAGAAGCATAGGACTTTTACTGGACAAATCTTCTTCTATGTATTCATATGGTATGCCCTTCAGTTTCAGCGCCCAAATCACTCTCCAAATATATGGACTCTTCCATGTCCCATGCAGCTTCACTTCACCCATTGTTTGGTGGATTCACAAATTACCTAGTGTGATGAGCTGATCAAACGCACAAATACAGGCACAATAGTGCATTAATTCTTTATTGAGAAATCATTGCTTAGTTAGAGATTGTTACTTTAAATAATGTAATTATTAATGTTGAAAACAACTGGTTTTTGTTTCTTCTGTTCGCCATTTCTCGAAATTTAAAAGTCGATTTAGTTGTCTAATCTTGGATTCTCCGATTGATTACAAGCAATCTTCGAACTCCCCAAAGATAAAACTACAGAGTACAGTAGACTATGAAAGCAACATTTGGATTTTTCTTTCGAAAATGTCGAACTCTGCCGAAGAAACCAATAAAATGGAAGTCATAAAACAATCATGGAACAAACTCAAACCCATAGTATTACCTTGACTATAACAATTAGACAAGAAATTTGTTTTCGCTTGAAAACTGGAGATCAAATATTGTTAATTGTTAAAAGCAACATATATAACAGGACTTAATTAATCTCGGTCTGAAAATTGGTCCCACCGCCCACGATACCACTAACTTTAAAATGGGTTTTGAGTCTCTCTCTCTCCAATAGCTGTATTTTTTTTATTTTTTTTTAATTGAGATTTTATATTAATTTTTTTGTGTTGATTAAAGAATCTATATTTTTTATTTTTCTCACAATGACTCATTCACAACGCTGCCAGTTTATAATTTAGTATGATGCATTTATTTCTAAATACATAGCATGTTTCATATATGAAATTAAAATAAAGAGATCTAATCAAAAAAATTTGAAGAATATGAAGCTTCAATCAAAATAATTCAAATTATAGGGACCAAATTATTTTTTTAATTTCCATGAAAATAAAATTATGAAGAGTATTTAAAAAAATAGTATAATAATTTAAAAATAATAAAATACATATAAATCGAACTTAACATGTAATTAAAAAATAACATGTAAATATATTCATAAAAAATAAAATAAAAACAACATATAATGTTGATTGGTATCTAATTATCTATATAAAAAAAGAAAAATATGTTATGTTCAGTATCGATCAACCACATATCATTAGTTAGTGGGTCTAATCATCGAAAAAAATTAAAAAATTAAGAAATTTTGAATATTTGACAAATTCAAGATGGGATTACTCTCTCTAAAAACTAACAACTATATTATTATAATAATTAAAAAAAATACTCTACACACTTTTTATTATTAGGAGGTCCTAGTATGACACATTTTGTGGCATTTAAGATAGAAGTATTAAAAAACAATACATGAAATTTTAAAAAAGAATAATTATCTGATCCATGTACTCTATGAATTATTTAGATTGAAACCTCATACTTTAAAAAAAATGATTGAGTTATTCTATTGGAGTCTTACATATGACATGTGTCACGATTTAGAAAAAGACATACCACGTCGGTTCACAAATTATCGATGTTATAATGGAGGGTTTGTAACAAAACAAAATGTACAAATAATAAAGAGACTCGATCAATACAAAAAAGAGTATAAAATTTTAATCGAAATAACTCAAAAAGTACATATACCATATAATAGGCAAAGTTCATTTTAAAATAAATACATATAAAGAAACACCATAGGAGATTCTATAATTCAAAGAACCATATCCCTCCATGTCCTTATTGCTAGATAAAATGGCCCCATGCATAATACACATGATAGTGCCTTTTCTCTTAGGTGTTGTTTGATAACAAAGAATAAAATTATGAAAATAAAAATAAAAAATTAATTTTCACTATATAAGTGTTTGGTTGAAACGAATAAAATATAAATGAGAATGAAAATAAGCATATGAGAATTAAAACAAAAAATGAGAATGAAATTTTTTTCTTTAAAATAACGATATATTATTTTTATTTATTGTTTATCAATTATTTCTATCATCATCATCACAACTACCACAACCACTACCATCATCATCACACCACCATTACCGATGATAATGAAAAAAATTATTATTATTATTATTCTGTCATCACTATTTGTCAACAACAACTCGTTTAATGTATCACTACCATCACCATCATTAGCGATAGTGATAAAAAAAATACATTATTTCACCACTACTTCATCACCATCATCACTTTTATTATACCACAACCATCACTTTTCTTCCATTGTCACTTCTTATAAAGATGGTATCAATTTTTTAGAAATTATATTATTATTATTGCTATCACCTCCTCCGCCTCTTCCTATTCCACCGTCACTATCGCCACTACTACTTCATCACTATTATCACTTTTATTATATAACAACCACTACTTTTTTGTGTTAATTTTCCAATATAGATTAGGTGATTTCCATATCATTAGAATCCTCTCGAGAGAAACTTTCTGGAGTGAAACGGGTAAAATTCATAGTTGTATCTCTTCCTTACGTCCTGATTGGGAATTTTAATGATTATTTAAAGATGTCTAAAAACAGCATGACTCTGAAATTCAGTTGGAATATTCATAGGTGTGAGCTTCACGAATTACCTTTTAAGAAAACCTTGTTTACTTTTAGAAGGGAAGTTTATGGTGCCATCTCTAACCTAGTTCGGTTGCATCGAACACTGGCTATAAAGAATAACATCTACTTTTTTCTGAAACTTCTATTCATCATCTTTCAAGAACCCATTCAAATCATAATCCTATTCTTCTTTGACTTAGTGGCTATGTCCTTCATGTGGGCTCTTGGCCATTCCGTTTTCAGGTTGTTTGGACTTTGCATGTGGACTTTGAAGCTATTGTGAAAAATTCTTTGGCTACCTCCAATTCTTTTCTTGCAGATGCTCTCTCCAATATGGCTAATGCAACTCAACTCTCTACTAAATATGTTTTTGAGAATATTTTCAAAAGAAAAAGAAGAACTTTTGCTAGCGTAGAAGGAATTTAGAATTAATTATCTTTCAGACACTTTCATTTTCTTATTAAAAAATCCAAGGTTAAACGGTTTCAACCACTACAAGAAAACGTAGAATTAGCGACGGTCATTCTTAAAAAACTATCGCTAAATAAAATTAGTAACGGTTTTGAGACCATCAAGACCGTCGATAAAATGCTTATTACTCATTTTTAGCGACAATTTTTTAAATTCATCCCTAATTTAGCTATAAAAAAAAACCATCGTTAATTTTAATAAAAAAAACCATCGCAATTTTTTAGAAAAACCATAGCTAATATTGAAAAATTAGCGATGGTTTTTCAAATTGATCGCTAAATTGGTCATCGGCATTTTGTATTTAGTGATAGTTAAAACCGTCCCTAAATTTTTTTTCATTTTTTTTATTTTTACCCAAATTTTAATTATTTTAAATTAACCTACTCTAGTTTAAAACTAAAAACAACACTACACATAAGATTTTTAAATATTACAAAATTATTATAATATGTAAAATTTAATAAAATTAAACATAAATATTAAAATATTTAATTACAAATAAAATTTAAAATTTTTTATTATTACATGAAAAAGAAAACATAAAAGCTATGAATGATCCGTAGGGTCGTCGATCGAAAATTGAGTGTCGGTTAAAGGTTTAATTAAGGAACTTACTTGTTGCATATTTAATAATATCTCGCTGCATCTACCTCATCATCTGGATATTAACCTACTCCAGTTTAAAAGCTAAAAAATGTTCTTAGATGGATGAAGAACATAAATGGATAAGAAAGAATCGTAAAAGGACAAGAAATTAAGAATCCAAAAGGAAAAGAAACAAGAAAGCAAAAAGAAATATGACAAGACTAGATGGAATGTTTTGCCGCACTTCAACAAAGGGGTAATCAAACATGTCTTTATGTCCCAATTTTCTAGAGTAAATTATAAATTAGTCCCTACTATTTTGAGAAATGAAGTAATAAATCCTTCTCATTTTAAAAAACTGTTCATTTAACTTTCTATATTTTAATTTTATCACTAATTTAGGCTTTTCATTAATTTTTCATTAGGTTAGTGATTTTTTTCTCAACTTGTATTTTTGATACTTTATTTCTCTCATTTATCCACTCTTTTTCTATCTCCTCAATCAAAAATAATAATAAAAAAGGTAAATAAAAATAATTAAGTTATTATAAAATTAATGAAAAAATTAAGTTATTGAATGAATTAAAAAGTGATGGACTAAATAATTAATTTTTGAAAAAAAAAGAGATTGATTAATTCATTTCTCTAACCTAGAGGGACTAATTTATAATTTACTCTAATTTTCTCGCATGATTGACAGTAGTTTGGAATCAAAAAACATATTCTAGAAGAAAATAGTGAACACTGAACAAAACAAAAGCTGAAAAGTTTTGGAAATCCTTTTTTTTTTCATTAATCTTAGCTAAAATTCCTTAGTGATTGATTCCATTAATTTCATCACACCAAAAATAAAAAAACAAGAAAGAATAAGGATTTTTTTTAATTGTCAACTAAATTACTAGCCACAATATTATAAATATCTTTTTAATTGTGTCATAATAATAATAATTATTATTATTATTAGGAAACACATTAGATTATATTACATAAACCAGAAAGAAAATTAGTTATCTTAAAATATCATTTTGTTTTATTTTTTTCAGATAATTATTGTTAGGGCGTAGACCTTAATTAACTTTCCTCACTTTGCCTCTAGAGGCAAGACAAGTACTAAATTCTAAAAAATTTCCCCGTGTCAGTACCTTTACTTGGTATTTTGTTAAAAAAATATATATATTATCATCAATTAAAAAGATTAATGGTTACAAAAGTCCTTTTAATCTTTTTTTTTTTTTTGGTCTTTATCGTATCTTTCTACTTTTTTTGTATTGAATTCATCCATTTACATTTGTAAATCACTAAATCACTAAGTTGTAAAATTATTAAATATTTTATTTTTTCACAATTTTAAATAATGTTGTTAACACGTAAATCACTAGTTTAACAATTATATAATTTATTAATAAAAATAACACCTGTTCAATTTTTTAAGAATAATTAAATTATTTAAATACCAACAATTTCACTTAATTT